GGTATGTTATGGTAGTGTAAACTTATTGTACAATGTGTGGTATGTTATTCTGGTGTAAACTTATTGTACAATGTGTTGTTTGTTATTCTTGTGTAAAATTATTGTACAATGTGTGGTATGTTATGGTGGTGTAAAATTATTGTACAATGTGTGGTATGTTATGGTGGTGTAAACTTATTGTACAATGTGTGGTATGTTATGGTGGTGTAAACTTATTGTACAATGTGTGGTATGTTATGGTGGTGTAAACTTATTGTACAATGTGTGGTATGTTATGGTGGTGTAAACTTATTGTACAATGTGTGGTATGTTATGGTGGTGTAAACTTATTGTACAATGTGTGGTATGTTATGGTGGTGTAAACATATTGTACAATGTGTGGTTTGTTATTCTGGTGTAAACATATTGTACAATGTGTGGTTTGTTATTCTGGTGTAAACATATTGTACAATGTGTGGTTTGTTATTCTGGTGTAAACATATTGTACAATGTGTGGTATGTTATGGTGGTGTAAACTTATTGTACAATGTGTGGTATGGTATGGTGGTGTAAACTTATTGTACAATGTGTGGTATGTTATGGTGGTGTAAACTTATTGTACAATGTGTGGTTTGTTATGGTGGTGTAAACTTATTGTACAATGTGTGGTATGTTATGGTGGTGTAAACTTATTGTACAATGTGTGGTATGGTATGGTGGTGTAAACATATTGTACAATGTGTGGTTTGTTATTCTGGTGTAAACATATTGTACAATGTGTAGTTTGTTATTCTGGTGTAAACATATTGTACAATGTGTGGTATGTTATGGTGGTGTAAACTTATTGTACAATGTGTGGTATGTTATGGTGGTGTAAACATATTGTACAATGTGTGGTTTGTTATTCTGGTGTAAACTTATTGTACAATGTGTGGTATGTTATGGTGGTGTAAACTTATTGTACAATGTGTGGTATGTTATGGTGGTGTAAACTTATTGTACAATGTGTGGTATGTTATGGTGGTGTAAAATTATTGTACAATGTGTGGTATGTTATTCTGGTGTAAACATATTGTACAATGTGTGGTTTGTTATGGTGGTGTAAACATATTGTACAATGTGTTGTTTGTTATTCTGGTGTAAACTTATTGTACAATGTGTGGTATGTTATTCTGGTGTAAAATTATTGTACAATCTGTGGTATGTTATGGTAGTGTAAACTTATTGTACAATGTGTGGTATGTTATTCTGGTGTAAACATATTGTACAATGTGTGGTATGTTATGGTGGTGTAAACTTATTGTACAATGTGTGGTATGTTATGGTGGTGTAAAATTATTGTACAATGTGTGGTATGTTATTCTGGTGTAAACATATTGTACAATGTGTGGTTTGTTATTCTGGTGTAAACATATTGTACAATGTGTGGTTTGTTATTCTGGTGTAAACTTATTGTACAATGTGTGGTTTGTTATTCTGGTGTAAACATATTGTACAATGTGTGGTTTGTTATGGTGGTGTAAACTTATTGTACAATGTGTGGTATGTTATGGTGGTGTAAACATATTGTACAATGTGTGGTTTGTTATGGTGGTGTAAACTTATTGTACAATGTGTGGTATGTTATGGTGGTGTAAACTTATTGTACAATGTGTGGTATGTTATGGTGGTGTAAAATTATTGTACAATGTGTGGTTTGTTATGGTGGTGTAAACTTATTGTACAATGTGTGGTATGTTATGGTGGTGTAAACTTATTGTACAATGTGTGGTTTGTTATTCTGATGTAAAATTATTGTACAATGTGTGGTATGTTATGGTGGTGTAAAGTTATTGTACGATGTGTGGTTTGTTATTCTGGTGTAAAATTATTGTACAATGTGTGGTATGTTATGGTGGTGTAAAATTATTGTACAATGTGTGGTATGTTATGGTAGTGTAAAATTATTGTACAATGTGTGGTATGTTATGGTGGTGTAAACTTATTGTACAATGTATTGTTTGTTATTCTGGTGTAAACTTATTGTACAATGTGTTGTTTGTTATTCTGGTGTAAACTTATTGTACAATGTGTTGTTTGTTATTCTGATGTAAAATTATTGTACAATGTGTGGTATGTTATGGTGGTGTAAAGTTATTGTACAATGTGTGGTATGTTAATGTTGGTGTAAACTTATTGTACAATGTGTTGTTTGTTATTCTGATGTAAAATTATTGTACAATGTGTGGTATGTTATGGTGGTGTAAAATTATTGTACAATGTGTGGTATGTTAATGTTGGTGTAAAATTATTGTACAATGTGTGGTATGTTATGGTGGTGTAAAATTATTGTACAATGTGTGGTATGTTATGGTGGTGTAAAATTATTGTACAATGTGTGGTATGTTATGGTGGTGTAAAATTATTGTACAATGTGTGGTATGTTATGGTGGTGTAAAATTATTGTACAATGTGTGGTTTGTTATAGTGACTTAGTGGTTTAATTGCGTTAAATTCCAGTCAACATTTGAACATACTATGGATTTTTCTGTTTAGGTTAGGTGTTTAACCACACCGTGTTAGTATTTACACAGGTCACAATGTTTAAACATTTTCTTTCTCTCCACCCTACTGATGTCTGGTTCTCGTGCCTCTATAAAATATATATCAATCCCGCTAAAATTCAAAAACTTATCCTTCTATCTGATGTAGACTAACATATCTTGTGTTATAATAAACAGATACACAATCCTAACCGATGGTACATGTATATGGTAAGTATGAAAGGGAAACATATACAGCACAATGGAATTGTGTGTAATATAACATTGTACAAAATGTAAATTTGTATGACGTCATTGACTATAACTTTGCATTAGACTATGTGTTATCGCTATGGAAACTTGAGTTATATAACATTGTACAAAATGTAAATCTGTATGATGTCATTAGAAGTTTCTTTAAATAAGACTGTGTGACGTCACTATGAAAGAGTAACTTGTATTATTTAATGTCTGGTATAAGATATAAATTGTTTGACGTCATTAGCTGTAACTTTGTATTCGACTGTATGATGTCACTATGAAGTATTAACTTGTGTTATTTAATACTTTGTTTAACATATTTATTACTTTGTGTTTTGTATATGATGCCAAGACAAAATGTTTATCAGATTTTTAGATTACACATCAAAGTTATCTTGTTCTAAGCAAAACGACACCGGAAATAGGATGATCTATTCCGGAACAATGTACACACCCATGTGTTAATTTCTATCTGAGACTTCATCAGATAGACACCCTTAGTATTGAATTACAAACGGATTATTCTGTGTCAGTACAATATACCTTGTAGTGCACAAATCAGTGAAGTGATATCAATAAATGGTTGAAATCACCTTACGGATGAGTGCTATAAATCCATGGAAAATATTAAAACATTTGTTATTTAATGCCAAAAATAGAGTTGGTCATGCTATGTAAAAATGAAAAATTCGGAAAATGAATGTGTTATCTCAATGGATTACACGTAAGATCACGAAATGTATTGTTATATAATTAATACCTATCAGTGGTTAAGTGTAAGTAATATATTTCAAATTCAAGGTTAAGAGTCATCAATGGTTGGGTGTAAATGTACGAAATATGTAGATATATGGCTACGAGTCATCAATGGTTGGGTGTAAATGTATGAAATATGTAGATATATGGTTAAGAGTCATCAATGGTTGGGTGTAAATGTATGAAATATGTAGATATATGGTTAAGAGTCATCAATGGTTGGGTGTAAATGTATTAAATATGTTAATATATGGTTAAGAGTCATCAATGGTTGGGTGTAAATGTATGAAATATGTAGATATATGTTTGTAAGAGTCATCAATGGTTGGGTGTAAATGTATGAAATATGTTAATATATGGTTAAGAGTCATCAATGGTTGGGTGTAAATGTATGAAATATGTTAATATATGGTTAGGAGTCATCAATGGTTGGGTGTAAATGTATGAACTATGTAGATATATGTTTGTAAGAGTCATCAATGGTTGGGTGTAAATGTATTAAATATGTTAATATATGGTTAAGAGTCATCAATGGTTGGGTGTAAATGTATTAAATATGTTAATATATGGTTAGGAGTCATCAATGGTTGGGTGTAAATGTATGAACTATGTAGATATATGTTTGTAAGAGTCATCAATGGTTGGGTGTAAATGTATGAAATGTGTAGATATATGGTTAAGAGTCATCAATGGTTGGGTGTAAATGTATGAAATATGTAGATATATGTTTGTAAGAGTCATCAATGGTTGGGTGTAAATGTATTAAATAGGAAAGTATATGTTTAAGGGTCCTCAATGGTTGGTTGTACTGGTATAGAATGTTAAGTTTAACGGTGTGAAATTGTAACTTCACGGTTAAGAACTATGAATGCCCTACTCTTTTAAATATAAAATTTCCAAGTTCGTGGCTGGAAATGTGAAATTGGAGAGTATACCTGTATGAAATACGTATGTACACGTGCGTGGCATAAGAACTACCAATAGTAAGTGGATATTTATGAAATGTATTATTTTATGGCTGAAAACCATAAAATTGATGAGGATACATGTGTAAATGTTTATGTACTTAGTAAAGAACCATCAATGTATAAGTGTATGGGTCAAATTAGGCCTAAAAAGAGGGAACCATGAATGAGTTTATGTACAGAAATTCCAGGAATCAACAAGATTTAGTGAATTTGGTCCCACATACTTAAACACCTTTCACTCAAGTGATTACGAAAGAAACCATTATTGGAACCGAGGAAACATTCTGATTAAACTCTACTCAACTCTTTAACGGAAGTTGATTCTAAAAGCAAAGTTTCCTTAATTCCAGTAACGTCTTTGTATGGAAGTATTACTAATATCATGCAGTGACGAAACGTTGAACACATAAGTAAAATAGGTGCAAGTTTCTGGGTATGCTGGTTTAAAAGTGGCAATGGTTTCGAGGAAATGATGATTTCCGTGATGAGCGAAAATTCATTGAAAATATTAGTATTATAAAATTGTTTCTTCTGAATAGGTGACACCATCGTCAGATCGAGCTTTGTTAGATTTATGCAGGTCGAAATCAGAGTTTCGAATAACTATATCCTTTAACGACGAAGCTTCGTTTATACTTTTGAAATATTTAAAATTTGGCGATTCGTCTCCGGAGAATTGTTTAATTGTAGCATGGCCATTCATGTATGTCTCTATGTAAGATTCGCGGGATGGGATCCTATTGTTGTCTACAAGCGTAATTGTCCCGTATCCATCCTCCTCCGAATTCGTGAGCAAGGAATTTTCTCGGAAAGGATTATTCACGCACGTGCTCTGGCTTGTTCTGTACTTATCGCGCTCCTCTTCCTTAGTTCCACGTGATCGCACGTGCGTATAGAAGAGCGTGAAGTTGTTTGATATAACAGGAATGGTAAGTGCTATCATTAATACACCACTTACAGCACAAGCGGCCCCTACAACGTATCCGATTGGTTTAGTAGGAAATATGTCACCGTACCCTACCGTAGTCATAGTAATAAGCGCCCACCAAAATCCCATTGGAATTGTGTTGAACTTATCGCTTGGTTGAACAGCGTCCTTTCGTTCTGCATAGTAAATCATGGATGCAAATACAAGCATGCCGATGATGAGAAAGATAGCCAGCATGAGCAGCTCCTGTACACTGGCCTTGAGGGCATAAACTAATATCTTCAGCGCTTGATAATGTTTCACGAGATGAAAAATTCTGAACATTCGAACGATCCGTAAAACGAACATGATTTCTATCATCAATCGTTCGTTTACATAACAGAACTGTAAATGATCAGTATTGAACACTAACTGCATATACAGAGGAACTAACGCTAACAAATCTATGATATTCATCATAGAACGAACAAACCTGATTTTTTCTGGTGCAAACACGAATCTCACTGCCAATTCTATAGTAAAATATGCGGTACAAATGATATCGAGGATGTTAAGACCCTCGTTTTGAGCCATGACCTGTACCCCCTGTGAACCATCGTCGCATGTGGAGGTCGTGTTATCAATGCGCGTGAAATTTCTCATTGGTCGGAGACTGGGCAGTGACTCCAGGCAGAATCCCAGGATTGATACGATGACAAACAGTAGGGATATGATACCATAGATCTGCAACACAAAACGAAGTAAAATTCAAGTTTTTTATAGTAAATAATTTTCAATAAAGGTCTTGGAATTTTTTCCTCACTCGTGAAATATGCTTTTCATCAGGAAACGGGAATACAATCTAACAACATTCAAATATACCTTTGTTTTACCTCGTCAGTAGTAACATCACTTTTTTCCCATACATAAAAATATCGTGTTGAATATTCAATTATGACCTACCATAGCAACCCGTGATGTCCTCGGGTGTTCTAGAATCAGCCAAATTTTCATCTGAAATCGTTTCCATCCTTCATATTCATTTATATTGACGAATACTCTCTCCTTCGCGAGACTACGGTTGAAGGAGTCGAGTATGGCTTTGTTCTCAATGTAGGAACGGTAATGTCGCCAACAACAAGATTTGATGCAGTACTGGTTTACCTGCCAGTAGTCCAACTCTCGCTTCACCACAGCTCCACATACTTCTAACGGAACGTGAAGTTCTCCTATATCAACAAAAACACAGTACAGTATTAAGACGCCTCGATTATACTGACGCCCGATGAAGAATACATCTCATTGTTCCATAATTGAGTCTTACGTTTCTCTGTGACTAATAGGGAAAATTAATACAGACGACTTGTCAGTCTCATAGACATGGTTAGATAACTTGATAATTAAATTTGTTGAAGCAGATTTTTTCGATTAGACCAACATGATTTCAATAACGATAATTTAAAGTGTTGATGTGATTGAAGTTAAGGTATTCTTCAATAATTATTTCAAAGGCATCATTACAAGGTAACACATTTCTTGTTCTTATATACAAAATCAATAGTATTTGATAATAACACATGCATGCAAACTGAAGATTTTAAGAAACCAATGAGGTAATTCTGATATATTCTGGTCTCTATAGTCTAGGATACATGGGTGAAATATGTAGTAACTTATTTCAAAGCTACACAATTTGGAAAAGCAATGTTAACCAAGGTTCAGCAAAACTTAGCAAATCTGGGCATGCTGGTAATGTGGTCATGATTATGAAGGACATGACGACTGGGTGTCAGACAGGTCCTTGTTGCATGACTAGTTCTACAACAGCCACGAATCCCACCGCCTGTTTCAGCTGCTGGACGGCCGAGAAATTCTATATTGTTATACAGTTAAGGTTCGTTGCTCAAACATAATTTGATAGACAAAAATCAATGATCCACAGAATCTAAGATTTAATGACAAACTATAAATGGTGAATACACATGAAATATCTTTATATATAACAGCATGTTCTCTATGTTTGGATGGACGAAAGCTATGCATGTATACGAGTATGAAGTTAAATGAAGTGATGGGGAGCTTATAAATCAGCAGAATTCAGCATATCATGCGGTTTGGAGATTAAAAACGTAGACACATAGATGGAAATACAACCAAAATATGGTGTTAAAATAATGTAAAACATGTGCAGATTGCATAAAGTGTAAAAATAGCGTTGAAAACAATTGCCTTTCACATGTTTTATAAATATTCATGTTGCTGTTGGTCCATTTAAAGTATATGACTTTTGCACTCAAATGTTTTATTAAAGCTTAATCAATATTATTCCGATTTTTGCACGATGCATTTATTTTATCTTATTTAAAATCACATGAATTATTCGTGAATGGCACGAAAACACGCCATGTCATTACGGACATGTGTTGAGAAATGAAGGCGTGCGTTTGTGCGTTTGTGACATTTTGTATTTTGTCGTGCGTTTAAACGTATCAAAATATATAGGAAAGGTCAAATACTTGATTTTATATGTTGCTCAAATCAAAGTTAAAAAAAACTTAAAATAATTTCAACATAATGTGCAAGCTTTTTAAGAAAAGTAGAGTAAGTAGGTTACTTCCCAGTTAATCTGCCGGTCTGCTAGCCAAAGATCACCTAACATTTTCCTGAAATGGCCCGAAACGTTCGTTCTGACGTCAGGAAAAAACATACTTATGAAAGTTGCATTCTGTCAGAATAACTTGAGGATCAGGCAACGGGATGATGATGATGAAATCAATATAGAAGACGTATAGAATCTCATCTGGAATCTTTTATTTGCACATATTTAAATGTGCTCTTTAGTAATGAAAGTATTGTTATATCAATCGCTTGTTTCTGGGTAAATGGCGGGAAATTTTGCGTTCCTCCGACAGAAAACCTTACTAGGAAGCGATAGACATACCACTGCATCGTCAAGCAAATCATTATTCATTTGTTTCTTTATGCTGTCGATGAATCAATACGAAACACAGTAGTAGTCACTCGGACCACGACGACATTCAACAATTGTCTGCTCAAGCGTAACTGCATTGCTCTGGGTGTAACATTGAATTCGCCTCAAGTGTACACCTGAAACCGTCACAGAGTTACGGTACAACGATGACAATGAGGTCGAAACAAACGCGGAAAAATACTGATCGATAACTTCAGGTTGTGTATCACTATTTTTCACAGGAAGAGAGCTTGGTAAAGATGTGGAACTGAGGTCAGCGTCTTCGCATTTCGAAAGGACGTATAGAACAAAACATTACATGAACAATAATAATTTTCATAATTAATCTAAAGATACATAATATGTAAACAACAGACCAGTTATTTAACCGATTTTTACACAGTGTATACACATACATCAGAGTAATACGTTACATACAATACATTGTAACAAAGTTTTACAAAGATCTATGGCAAAATAGGCAAACATTACACCCAGCTTACATTGTATACATTTGCTGTTGATAGTTATGTAAAATATACATCTATAACAATATTTAGCACAGAACTGGTACATATCCCAGTGTGTACACATCACACATATACGATGCACAAATGTGTAAGCAAAAATTGTTAACTTTCAAAAAGTACATAAATCGGGAAAGTGTCTTGGGCTAAATTTATTAAATGTTTGAGTGAACAGAATATATCAGCATATACAATAAGCATCACATGATCAGTCACATGATTGGTCACAGCTTTCACACTCTCTTTTAATTTTTCCTTCTTTCCTTCCTTAAACCATCCTCGATACTCCATGAGTTACGATCACTTTCACTCCCTGTACCATGAAAAGGTTCAATGTGTGACACATTGTGGACGAGACCAAAAGACTAGTTTGATCCTTTTAAGAACGTCAATCGAATATCTAGGTCATATAACTGTATGTTGTAATGGCTTTGAAGATGGGTGTCACTCGTTTGTAATCTTCAAGAGAAGCGTATCAATTGGTCATTTATTTTCTCCAGGAACCAATCATGTTACATCGCTTGTGGCTTTAATTTTGCCAAGACATGTCCTAGGGGTGCCGAGAGCGAAAGAGATCATAACCCCTGCAGTATCGAGGATATCCTTAAATCAATGGTAATATTCATGATAGATGCTGACATCTGATAGAAATACACATGTAGCTTAGGATGGCACTAGATAAAAGGAAAAGTTGTATAATGGTTGTCAAGATTTCGTAACGAAAGATTCTATATCCTTGTGCTATGTTATGTTGTCTTCGATGTTCTAAATATTCCCTAATGCAATAGTAATTTTGACTTCAAATTTCCCCGAAAGCACTCGTCTACCTTCATCTCTCCAAACAATAATTATCCGTCAGCTATTGGCAAGGTAATCGTGATATGGGGAACATGTCTTTGTATACTGAGACAACTTCAATACTTAAATGCCATAAGTTAGGAAAGAAGCTATGTTACTATCTAGAAACGGAAAAATCACTACAGAGCAGTTGAAATCGTCGTGATTTTCATACATCTCTGTCGAAAGCAGTCACTGTTGGTGGCGTTGAAAGTTAGGCTCGAGGTAAGAGAGTAATACATAGTCTATTGCAGTCGTGGTACTGCAGTTTCTCAACAGCATGGACTCTGCCTCTACTGTACCTACTCGTCAAATGTTCGCAATGACGAGTTGGCATATTATGATGTTTTAAGTAGTTATAAAGCATTATAGAATTATTTCAAATGCTGACACTTCTAATATATGTCTCCTATGAATAATTAATCATTGGTTTTTTCACGTAGCATTATGTCCTTTTAGACTCGCTTCGGTGGTGACAACACTGGTTCCTTCCACCTCTTTCCACACGTCATCAGTGACAGTAATCTGTTCTTATTTCCCCCGAGACAATGTAAACTTGTTTGTTTGTGAGCAATCACGTCGATGTCTAGTGATTTTCTTTATATTTTGCGAAATTATTCCTGATTGAGCAACAACCTGACCATCCGTCAGGGAAAACCGGACACCATCGATCGCACCATATATCACTGCTATGGTCTATCGGCATTCTATTGCGATGGCTAAAACGGAGTTTGCACTCAGTACATGTGTACCGACTTAGCATTATTTGTATATATGTTGTAATAACTGATACGCATAGTATTTCAATCATCTGACAAGTCACAACACACATGGGGTACACATCCGACAACCTAGTTTGTTTTCAGTTTTTAAGCCATCACAAATTTGATTGTTTTTTTCCTGTCTTTACAACAGAGCCTTCAATAACAAGTAGGCTCAGAAAGGCATGGTTTTCAATTGATACCATACATTTTTGTTGTTCATACAATTTGATTTCTTTCCCATCCTACCCGATCCTTCTGAAACTGAAATCCTTGATAAGATGAAAGCATTACGTATATTGAGGGAATGGTTTGCCACAGTTCGCCTGATGGTTTTTGATGATAAAACATGAAGCAGGTTGTATTGATTACAGGAATCTCGAGTTTATACCTACCAAATGGATGTAGCTGGTGAGCATCACACAACAGCATAAACACTGCTGCAGACTAACTAGTGTCTGCTTGTATGGTACGTAGGCACGCAAGGTATTCCCGTCGCTATGACCTGTTCAATCAACGCATTTCTAGGTACAATGAAACCAAATAAATGAACTGATGCACACCCATTCAGGAAAATAACTTACAATGAAAACCTCGATCTAACAATAAATTACTTATGTTCTTGAGTGTTTTTTTAAAATAATAACAAAAACAGTTTAAAATCTTCTATTTTTAGATTCTTTTTGTACAGAAATATTTATCAATATATCGGACAAGTATAGCCTGCTTGGTTTCGCTTCAGTGACAAGGCAAGCGTACAAATGCTACCTTTTAACGTGTTGATATTTATCTCTTCGATCGCACAGAGCATTTGTGAAGAATGCAGATGTTCAATGTGTCATTGATTGACACACTGAAGACGGAAAGTGAATCCCGCTGATTGACCGGCAATCACCTTGTGATACGTTTTCGACTCTAATTTTTTTTATTAACGAAACGTAGACGCTCTTTACACTATTGCGCTACTGTTTCTATTGATGTCTGTCTTCCTTACAGATATGTCATCTGTCAGTATTTTTTCTTGCTTGATTGTATCGTGTAACTATTAAAACGGTTGTCCTGTCATTAAGGTGACGACATGACCGTGTCTTTCACAGCATATTCAACATCTATTGAAAATATTCAGAGTCTGT